TATCACGAATAATTCTGATATGTTATTCCGACAAGTAATTCCAAAAATATACATCAAAAACATTTCTCGTTAAAGTACCGTTTAACATTTTATTACAGGTGTTTACAAGACAGCAATTTACATTGTAATAACGTTCGGAGCATTTTTGTGCAGTCAGGGAACACATTAACTCATTGTCGGCGAACATACAACAGTAATGTCGGTAGTAAAAAAAACCGGAGTCATGTAACCGTAACGATACTTCATCTCCTCCTGAAACGGCACGTGTCTACAAAGCGGTTTTAACCCTCCGCAAAACATGCTCCGTTGGACGTGATATTTGTATAGGGCTACTTACCTACGACGCACGTGCTCGCATCACATACGTGTGCAGGGAAATAAGGGCTGGTAAATATCCTTTGTAATTTACATTTCAAAATGAATCGTCATTAAGGATAATATCGAAAAATTCGATATGCTATCTGATTAATCTCCTTTCTCTTGATATTCTTCATGCTTTTTGTATAATCATAAATAGGACAATATATATATACATATATATATATATGATATTAAGTCAAAGAGGAGAGGGGGGCGGGGAGTGGAAGAGAAAGAATGACTTAATACTGCTTAAAATAGACTTATAAATTTATAAATTTATTTGTACATTATTTTTATAACTTGTATTAGAATTTAAATGTATAGTGTACTTATATGCTAATTTAGTGTCTTCAAGTAGAAAGTTTAAAAAACAATAATTAATAAAGACGAGTTGAGTTGAATGCAACAATAGCGTAGAAAGTATACGTATAAAAAAATATACGTATATTACAAAAAAATAACGTACAAAAAAATATACGTATATTACACGTTTAAAATTCTTTCAGTTGTAAATGTACATTTGCATGTAGCACCGATTGTAATTCGATCCAATTTCTATCGTGTCAGCTCATTCCTTTCAATCGAATAGATGTGATAATTCTTATCGATGGGATTATGCAAAGGAGTTAACACGAACGGCGAAGCGTGCCTCTCCCTCGATAAAAGCGACTTGCTTGATGAATTGAGTTAGTCGCGCGTGAACGTTTTTAAGCCTTCGGTTTCAATCAGTTAGATGAAAATCCCAGAGAATGAATACGTGACGAAAATAATTGCATTTCCCATGACGCATTTAAAATTAACTTTGTTATGTATAAAAACATAAATAATTATTTGACTTCGCCTCCGATGTACTTTCGCTTGATTCAATAATAACAGATGCTCTTTTTATCCCGAACAATAGAAGGGCTGCATAAATACAATCTCCGGGAGTATGGACTACCCTTTTGGGCACGGACCAGTATTTTATACGCAGCTACCAACGCCCATCGCTTTTGATTTCACTCTGCACTACTGAAAATAAAATTTTTAATGTGTAACGTTATTGAATTTAAAATGTGATTAATTTCTCAACATGCTTTATTACAATACTTTATTAATAAGGATAAGGTAATTATATTATAAAGTTAATGTTAAAGTCGGATTTTTCTATTATCAAATTTCGTGAAAATTCTAATTTTATATAAATTTTATATAATTTTATATAAACTTTTCTTTATTCTATGTAAAAAATTGAAATAAAATTCTACAAGATGAATAGCATTTATATTTTCATTGCAATAAAATATCTTTAATGAAATATATTAAACAAAAAAATATACGTATATTACACGTTTTTTAGATAGTATTTTAATTAAAAATTCTCTATTAAAATTTATATATGTACTACTTTTTCATTTTAAATAAATTAATCGTACTTAATATGGTCACCTAAGATTTTGCATTTTTTCTAACTAATTCAATTTTTTTGCTGCGTCTAACATTGATTAGGTTTAACAGAAAAAACATTTCTGAACGGTTACATTAAGTATATTAGATCATATTGGGTATGGTTATCTTATATTTAAAATATTTTATGTTATATTTTTATGTTTTATATTTTATACATAATATATCTCTTCTATAGAAGAGAGACAACGGTACATTCATATTAGTATATTGTTAATTTAAAGCAAATTATTATAAGTGCTCTTTAGTAATTTATAAAAAGATAGTGTTCTATATAATTTCATGTAGATTGCTCAGTCCTTGAGTGCTTCAGCGCAACTTTGCCTGGAGAAACTTGTCAGTGCAAAGGTCGTAAGTGCATGTACCTGCACGTCTGGCTTAATGTTCGGGGCAATCGGGGCAGACGAAAGTGTCCTTTTATGGCAACGAGTCCTTTCACGAACAGCATTCTTGACGGGCTTTCCATCGCGTTCACAGTATACAACCTGGTGGTTCCAAAAATAGGATCGATATATATATATATATA